TTGAAAACAAATATACATCATTCACTTATTTAATTAAAATTGTTGGTTGATGGTTTCCCAAAAAAAAAAAAAAGAAACTCTTCCGGTCCTTAATATAGAACCTAATTGTTGAGTTAATCTTGATCCTAAATATAAGACCTATTTATCATATTTATCAATTATTTCTAAATTACTCCTATGGATACTTCCTCAACCATAATGAAGTAGAAGAGGGAGAGAGGATATTAAGAAAAATAATTATGGTGTTTTAAAAAAAACATGGCATATTTCTTATAATTAACTAACTTATCCAATTTCTTTAATTTAATCAAATTAGTTAAATATGTCTTATATTAAGGACTGGAAGAGTAGATGGATGGTCCTGAAAAAACTTGTAGATGATCGTTATGTATTATTGTATTTTTCGCAAAATTATAACCCCCCATTTTTTGTAGCAAAAAAAAAAATTACAACCCCCAAAAAAAAAACACTTTAATCCTCTTCCCCCATTTTTAAAAGTTTAAAAATAACATTCTCAATTTTCGTAGTTTGACATTTACCTCCTTACTATTAAAGTAGTCATTAAATTTAACAGAATGAATGCCATGTCAAATTATTTGAAATTACTTGGCAAATGACATGTAATTTTTATGATTTTATTAATTTATCCCAACTCAAAAATCATAATTATATTATATGGTATTTTTATGATTTGACAATAATAATCCCTAATTCATAGTCTCTCCTGATCGTCTTCCTTTTTCACCCTCTCTTAGTTCTTCTTGTTTGCCACGTCGTCTAATAATCTGCTCCAATCTCCATTCCAAAAATCATCTACATCACATCCTTCTTTCACGGGAGAATTTCGATAAACCCAGTAACAAATTAATATCAATCAACACCACAGTTATAAGAAACATAAGCACTTGTATTTCAAAAAAATCATTTTGGTCCAAGAGAATGAACCGAAATTTTGAAATTTTTTGGGAGTTGAACGATATTAATTTGCTACTGTGGGTTTTTTTTTTTTTGTGAAATTGTCCTTTTTATATTTTTTGTGTGAAGTTGTTTCCTTCTCTGCCTATCTTTTAATTGTACTCAGTGAAAAATTTGTTTGGGGCAATGAGACAAAGATAATGGAGAAAATCATTTACACTTCGTCAGTTTTTGCACATAACCAATTTATGGAAGTATTATATTGTTGATGAGAATCAAGTGAGAAGAGTTATATTCTGAAGATGATTTTTAGAATGAAGAAGAAAAAAGCGCTGCAAGTTGGGAGGCGCTATGCAAGACGATTAGGGGAGATTGACAATTAGGGATTATTATTAAGAGTAGAATGACAAAAATACCCTTAAGTTTAATTGTGAGTTTAAGTTGGGGTAAATTAACTAAATAACAAAAATTACATATTATCTGTCAAGCAATTTTAAATAATTTGACGTCTCATCCATTCCGTTAGATGGTCATTTTAATGATTAGGGGTTAAGTGTCAGGCAATGAAAATTGATGGTATTATTTTGGTTCAAGATACTTCCAACACATGGAAGTATTTTCTCAGGCACATTTAACATTTTTAAATATCTTGTGATGCATCTAGCATCCTGAAATATTTTTGGAAAAATAACAACAAAATACCACCTGAATTTCAAAAAGACAAATAAGGCACCTGAATAAACAAAATGACATATAGGGGACTGGGTACCAATCTGGAATTCAGATTTTTGGCCAAAAGACCAAAATGCCCTGTCTGAAAGTGAGAGAAAGGAGAGAGGAAGACGTTGATGAAATACGGGAAGGAGAGAGGAGGAAGACGCTGATGAAATCGAGAAGAAGAGAGGAAGGAGAGAGGAAGACGTTAATTTTCGATGGGTTCCCACAGCTTAAAATGTTATTGCCTATCATTTCTCTAAAAAATTTTGGTTCTATCTCTGTTCTTCGTATAAAACCATTTTCAGAGAATGTGAAGCTGTGGGAAAGATGAACCTATGGGAAAGATGAAGCGAAAATCAGAAAACAATGGCAAGCAATTACGTAACGTAACTGCTGTCATATGCCTGCTGGTTTTTGGTAAATCCCACTACGTGAATGGTAAATTTCACTATACATGTAGTTAATTATGAAAGTTAATAGTTCAATGTTTATTGTGACGTACTTCAAATGCACGTTCACTGAATGATTTATTTATGCTTATAAGTTGCCTTTCCGGTGAAAACAGGTTTACAAAACCCATTGAAGAAGTAGTCACTTTCACTATAAAAGTTGTAAATCCCAGTATATGTTTTGTAAAATTCAACGTGAAATTTTATTGGTTTTTAGAAACAAGTTGCCCATCCCTTGAAAAATGATTGCAAAAGCCATTTAAGAAGTGGTCATTTTCACTATAAAAGTTGTAAATATCACTGTGTGTTTTGTAAAATTCAGCGTGAAATTTTATTGATTTTTAGAAACAAGTTGCTCATTCCTTGAAAAGAGGTTGCAAAACTCATTTAAGAAGTGGTAATTTTCATTACAAAAGTTGTAAATATCACTCTATGTTTTGTAAAATTCAGTATGGAATTTTATTGGTTTTTAGAAACAAGTTGCCCATCCCCTGAAAACTGGTTGCAAAAGCCATTTAAGAAGTGGTCATTTTCACTACAAAAGTTGTAAATATCACTCTATGTTTTGTAAAATTCAGTGTGGAATTTTATTGGTTTTTAGAAACAAGTTGCCAATCCCTTGAAAACATGTTACAAAACCCATTGAAGAAGTGATCATTTCACTACGAAAGTTGTAAATCTCACTATGTGTTTTGTCAAATTTAGTAGGAAATTTTATTAGTTTTTAGAAACAAGCTGCCCATCCCCTGAAAACAAGTTACAAAACCCATTGAATAAGTGGTCATTTTTACTACGGAAGTTGTAAATCCCACTATACGTTTTGTCAAATTTAGCGTGAAATTTTATTAGTTTTTACAAACAAGTTGTTTATCTCCTGAAAACAGGTTGCAAAACACATTAACAAAGTAGTCACTTTCACTACAAAAGTTGTAAATCACAATATGTATTTTGTAAAATTCATAATTAACTACATGTATAGTGAAATTTACAACTTTTATAGTGAAAATGACCACTTCTTAAATGGCTTTTGCAACCAGTTTTCAGGGGATGGGCAACTTGTTTCTAAAAACCAATAAAATTCCATACTGAATTTTACAAAACATAGAATGATATTTACAACTTTTGTAATGAAAATTACCACTTCTTAAATGAGTTTTGCAACCTCTTTTCAAGGAATGAGCAACTTGTTTCTAAAAATCAATAAAATTTCACGCTGAATTTTACAAAACACACAGTGATATTTACAACTTTTATAGTGAAAATGACCACTTCTTAAATGGCTTTTGCAATCATTTTTCAAGGGATGGGCAACTTTTTTCTAAAAACCAATAAAATTTCACGTTGAATTTTACAAAACATATACTGGGATTTACAACTTTTATAGTGAAAGTGACTACTTCTTCAATGGGTTTTGTAAACCTGTTTTCACCGGAAAGGCAACTTATAAGCATAAATAAATCATTCAGTGAACGTGCATTTGAAGTACGTCACAATAAACATTGAACTATTAACTTTCATAATTAACTACATGTATAGTGAAATTTACCATTCACGTAGTGGGATTTACCAAAAACCAGCAGGCATATGACAGCAGTTACGTTACGTAATTGCTTGCCATTGTTTTCTGATTTTCGCTTCATCTTTCCCATAGGTTCATCTTTCCCACAGCTTCACATTCTCTGAAAATGGTTTTATACGAAGAACAGAGATAGAACCAAAATTTTTTAGAGAAATGATAGGCAATAACATTTTAAGCTGTGGGAACCCATCGAAAATTAACGTCTTCCTCTCTCCTTCCTCTCTTCTTCCCGATTTCATCAGCGTCTTCCTCCTCTCTCCTCCCGTGTTTCATCAGCGTCTTCCTCTCTCCTTCCTCTCTCCTTTTCTCTCACTTTCAGACAAGGCATTTTGGTCTTTTGGCCAAAAATCTGAATTCCAGATTGGTACCCAGTCCCCTATATGTCATTTTGCTTATTCAGGTGCCTTATTTGCCTTTTTGAAATTCAGATGGTATTTTGTTGTCATTTTCCCAATATTTTTTTAGTTACATCCAACACCGTAAATATGTTTTGGTGCATCCATCATTTTAAAGTACTTTCTTTTTTTGTACATCCAACACCTAAAAATATTTTTTGGTGCATCTAATATTAAGACAAAAAAAAAGTTCAGAGTACTGGATGCACCTAGAATATACTTTGGGGTACTAGATGTATCTAGAATATATTTTGGGCTGATGGATGCGCATTAACTCTATTATTTTTAACTTTTAAAGATGATAGATATTAGGTGGATGGATGCAGCATGGCTATTTTTCTGGTTGCTACAGTAGTAAATTATAACATGATGGTAGTTTCTAATATAAATTCTACCAGTATTATCTGAACTACAAACTACTAATACATAGGAATATCTTTTTTTCTCCCCTGTAAACATAATGTGGGAAGATTTTTCTGGCAAGAAAAAAAATGTGGGAAGACTTTCCACACAACATACCATTCTTATTTTTGGTTTATCATTTTAAATTTTAGTTTTCAAATAAATTATTTTTTAGTTATTTTTTATTTAGTGTTTTATTCTGTGGAGAGAAAAAAGTAATTAAATATACATTGTTTAGATAATAAAATTTTTAAGGGACTAACTGTTGGGGGAAAAAAGAAAAGAAGGACTAAATTAATATATTTAAATAATTTTATAATTACTTTTTTTAATTTCTTTCCTCTATTTTTTGTTATTTAGAAAACTCTTTTTTCTTCTCAGCTCAAAGGGCAAAAAAAACTCATTTTTTTCCCGGCCAAAAAAAACTTCTTTTTTCTTGCGTGTTTTTTGGTAAAAAAATTTGAATTGAATTTACGGGTTTCCTAACTTTTCCTAAAACCCATAAATCCTGCTTCGCTCGCTGTGCTACTCCTGCAAGTAGAAGATTGCCGCCGCGCCAGTGCTGTTCGTGGAGGACTCCGTTGCGACGCTTTCCGGCATCTCCGTCTCAGGCGGCTCTCTCAAGTCTTAAGGTTCTCCTTTATTTTTCCCCTCCTTATCTCACACCTGAAATTTCGGTGCCACGCGCCGTGTGACTTTGAGGCATCTTCGTCTTCCATGGAAGTTGATAGACCTGATGGCCGTTCGCCTAGTCAATTGAGGCCCCTTGCTTGCTCTCGGGGCATCCTTAATCGTGCCCATGGCTCTGCAAGCTGGACTCAAGGTTATTCCCTTATACTTATCCCTCCCCTTCCGTTTTCATTTATTTCCGGTGACATTTACCTTTTGCTATATCACTCTTTCAGTTCAGTGTTTTCATTGATGTAAGTCAAAGTTACATTTCATGCTGGGGTTGTCCTCAAAGTGCCTTTTATTTTTATTTATATTTTTTATGGTATTGGTCGTTTAGGCGTCGGTTAGTATAGATGGGGTAAATGAATCGATTTTGGATGAGAAATGACTGTTGTGTTTGAGTAAGGCATTGTAAAAAAACATTGCTTCTGCCTCCACGGCACTATAGTTTTTGAGATATCTTATCTTGGATTTGATTTCATCTCTTAGGGGAGACCAAGATTCTTGCTGCAGTTTATGGACCCAAAGCTGGGACTAGGAAGACTGAAAATCCCGAAAAGGCTTGCATTGAAGTTATATGGAAGCCTAAGACAGGACAGATTGGTGAGAATTGCTATTTTGTTTTTCAAAAAAAAAAAAAGTTCGTTTAACAACTGTATTGTTATTAACGTGGCCAAGCCTATTTTTCTTCTGCAACTTCGAAGTACAATTTATTATAAATCATTTTTGGTAAAGAATTATATTGACAATATATTCCATGTGGAGGCAAATGAGTCATCACATCTCTTCTGATTTTTTGTGAATGGATGAATATGTTCATGGCTTAGGAAAATTGGAGAGGGAGTCTGAGATGATATTAAAGAAATCTCTTGAAAGCATTTGCATTCGAAGCATGTATCCAAATACCACAACTTCAGTTATAATTCAGGTCAGTTTTGCTTTAACCCTGGGAGTAGGATCCCTTTGTTTTGTCTCTCTTACATACTTCTGAATATATTTATGGAAAAAGCTACAAGCATCTACCTGGATTTCAAACACTTGGTTTTCCAATAAATTTGAGAGGGCCCAACCTTTTTTATTAATTGTTTTGGTCTCTTAGCATTGCCTAAATATATTTTGATCCTTTACAATTACTTAATATATGCACCTAAGTTAAAATGAATAATGCAATTTGTTCTTACATTACAGTAGGAAAACAAGGGAGCTCTGATGAAAATTTTAGCATGTGAGTGGTGACAGAAGATAATTTAGTAGTTTGTATTGAGCTTATTAATCTCTGTGAAACAAATTTGGCTCTTTTGACTTCTTCATTAGTCTATTCCAGTTTCCTCCTCCTTTTTATGTAACAACTGTTAAGTTTTATGTGTATGTTATTCTGAAGTTATCCATAAATAATGTATCATCTGAAGTGTCATGGCATGATTGTATATCATTTGTTGCTACTGCAGGTCGTCCATGATGATGGTGCTGTATCCTACTGCGATATATAATTACATTATGATGCAGCTGGTGACTATTTCAGTTAAATTGTTACGTCACACACTTTGATAGATTTTTTTTTATTATTATTATTTTTTAACTAGTGCTATATTTCACTTTTACAAGTTGCGATTAAAATTTTAGTGGCCTGTACTAATTCATGTTTGAACTGCTTCTCTTCAACTCATTATCAGATATTGTAAAGATTTTATGATTTTTCCAACCCTCGTTTTAATTCCCTGTCAAATTTTCTAGCTGTTAATATCATCATTACTGTTTTTGCTGTTTTCTCCTGATTTGTACTGAGGCAAATCTTAATTTCTATTTTGAAATTATTGTCAACATGCCAGAGTTCATCTTTGGATCCCTTGCAGCATGCACGACAATGTTGAGTTCTCTTATTGAAGATCCTTTTTGCTTAGCAGATATATGCATGGTTGCAATTTGTTCTCCTTAGCCAAACTCATTCTTATTCATATCGTGGCTTATTTTCATCTAGCCATTTTCTTTTTAATTCTTGAGAAGAAGTTTTTGGGTATATAAATAGATGGATAGCAATAGAAGGATTCATCTATTCTGCCTTGTCTTCTAGCTTATGATCATTTCTACGACTTCTGTGCTTGAGGTTCAATGCTTACAATTCGCTTCAGTTTGGTGATTAGTGACTTTCTTGGGGGGTCAACCCTACCTTATTTGACTATGAATTGAAGCGACAAAATTTGACAACCATCAGATATCCATTTACACAATTTGATCCAACTGATATCCAAAGGAGAAGAATGTTTAATGTATTTGTTTCTGATCTACAACTTTTTGTTGCTTTTTCTTGACTTAATAAGTAGCTTCTTCCGTGTGCAATAAATGCTGCATGTGCTGCCCTTGTAGATGCTGGAATCCCACTGAAGCATCTTGCTGGTAACCAAAACTTATGGCATACCGTTGTAATTTCATCTGTTGAAGCATAGTGAATTTCTCATTTTCCCATGCTTGTCTCTACAGTTGCTATATGTTGTTCTGTGGCTGATGGTGGCTATGTTCTACTGGACCCTAACAAACTTGAAGAGGAGGTTAGTAGCATTTTTTCCGACTAAAACATTGTTCACTCAGTAGCGCATTATGTTTAGTTAGAGCTAAGTTACCTGAATCTGGTCTTCATTTACATAAAGTTTGTGACTGTTTCTTGGCTCTTTTTTATTCAATCAAAGTATCTGCTCTAAGTACTGGTGTTGGTGGGAAAAAATCCCAAAGGTGTTCTTTGAATCTGACCAAATACATTCTCAAAGAAAAACCAATTATGCAAATAGATGTCACCACTACCTTACTTGCCGTACAGATGGCCCTCACTCGTGCCTATATTTTTTTTCAATTGATTGAGATACGTTGATACTAAAATTCGTTCAGGAATCACTTTGAAAGTCATGTTCACTGCAAGTTGTTAGGATATGTGTTATCAAAATTTAGAGTGAGGGAATCATGTTTATTTTTTAGGATAAGAATCAAAATGTAGTTTACTGAAAACCTCAAGCACAGTCAATGTAATCTTTTCTAGTTTCGCTTCTTATAATTTTTTACTATACAACAGTCATTACTGGGTAGCTAATTATGTGGTCTGAGTTGTTTCTACTTTTATTTTCAGTCTCCGGAATTTTAAAACAGGGGTTCCTTGGTCGATGCCTCTTGTACATAAATCTAATTTGATATTTAATGTTTAATGGCAGAAATGAAAGCGTTTGCCTATTTAGTCTTCCCAAATACATGTGTTTCAGTTCTACCGGGAGGATCGTTACAGGTGGATAAGGAACCTATGGAACATGGAATCATTACATCTGTAACCCATGGTGCTATGTCAGGTATCTGTCTTGCTTCTTTTTTGAATCCCATGGAGGATTAAGTGATCGTGGCCTCTTCATTTGGCTCACACTCTTGCTTTGCTGTGGCTTTTATCTGGTTCGATATGGAGATAGTTTTAAATCAACTTCTCGATTAGAGCTTCTCTGTGCATGTTCGGATATGTTAGAGCCATATCACATCTATTATGGTCCTATGGGGATCTAGCCCATTGCTTCTTTCTTGGATTTTCAGCAGTCAGCACCTCTTGCTTAGTTTTTATTTTGTTCTTAATTTTTCTATGTTCTTGTTCTGTGTTTTCTGTTCTATTCTTTAGTCATTCAGCCTCTAATGTACATGGGTTGAGCTTCAACGTGTGTCATCATTTTGCCATTTAATGAAATTTGATCTTTTTATCAAAAAATACATCTCTGACCAGTGCTTATACTTCCAACGATGCATTTGACAATCTTATCGTGTTCCTAAGATCCAGGACATGATCATTGTTCTTTAAGTACTTTCGCTGGAATCCAAATTAGGAGTTCAGATTCCATCTCCCCCCCCCCCCCAAAAAAAAAAAGTGTTTCTTTTTCACCTAGTAAATGACTCTTAGAAGACTATAACATATGATCCCACGATTTTATTTTTCTATTTCATTTTGTTGTTTTAATCTTTTTAATGCTTGACCTGATTGAAATTTTTGGCTGAATTCTTTCAAGTGGATGATTATCTCCATTGCCTAGAAAGAGGGCGTGCTGCCAGTGCGAAGATGTCTGAATTCTTGAGGAAGAGCTTACAGCCACAATTATCTGGAGATTCATCTAAAGCCGGTTGATACCAAACAGGTTGTGCTTTGATATGTTTGACCCATGCTTGTTTTTGCTAACTGGGAGTTACTGAGCTTCATACTTGTGAGCCATGTACGTTAGGCTTTGCAGTAGCAGACAAAACATCTTCCTTGAAAGTGTTAGTGTAATGATATAGTCCTCATTGGTTAGGTATTTAATGGAATCTGATTTTTTTTTTTTGGAGGTTCTAACATGTGTAACTGTGACCAAATAATATAAGATTTTTATTGTTTGGGAAAGTGTAAGTGACTTTTCTTGACACCCATGAATGCACGGGTGGAAAGATTCAAGTTTTATAAAAGTTTTGATTAATTAGTTCACAAATGATGAATTTCAGTCCAATGCAACTTTTAGGAAGATGACAACTTTGCTAATAAAATACAAAATAAGAAAAACGTTTTTTAATAATAAAAGGGAAAATTAATCAGAAAGTCTTTATAGTTTTATCAAGTTTGGAATCAGGTCCCTATTATTTTTTGCCTTTTTATTCAGTCCTTATTATTATTTTTATTATTAGGTTAGTCCTTCCGTACAAAAAAAAAAATTGAAGATGCCGTTAAAGTTGACCAAGATATTCGCTGAAGCCCATCGTCTGTGTACTCTCTCTGCACCTTCATCGTTTGCACCCTTCTCTTGCACAAGCTTCACTCCATTCTTGCTAAGCCAACCTCCCATGTCTTGTCTGCAACTTCAATGAGAGAGATAATGATGAATCAATTCAAACAACCTTACTGTATCTCCATATTTCCATGTAACAAATTATCTTCGCCACACAACCTCACAGCAAATATCGAAATTTGTAAAGACACAATGCATTATCCCAATATCAGAATTGTTGATTGGAATGCTAGCTTCTCCTCTTTCGGTCTTCTTTCTCTAACAGTCTAACCCATTGTTTTTTTATTCAAAAAATACCATTAGACGCAATAAGTTCAAACTCAACTCTTTTTCAATTTCTTGTTTAAAAAAGAATGTAAAGATCCTTTTTTTTTTTTCCAATGTTTATATGCTACTTTCTTTTTATGACATTATTTTAGAGTGTCATTGATGGAAGTCAAGATCTTGATTTTGCTTTAACCAAAGCCTCGATGGAGAAAAACACAGTAATAGCGGCGCTCCTAAAGAAGGCTTATGTGGAACAAAACGCAGTCACCATGTTTGACCTCTTTTCGAAGAGCTTCTAGCTTGGAGAAGGCACGAGGTCTCTGGTTAATGGTGAAGAGGTAACGGTATTGCTATGAAGGAGACTGGTGGAGTTTTTTTTTTTTTTGGGGGTGTAACGCCTCATGTTTAAATCAATTAACTTTCCTTACGGAAGCATTTGGAATCACTTTTGAAGGCTACAATTGATGAAAAATCAAGTTTGAAAATTTTCATTTACAGGTTACTATTCATTGTCACCTTAAAATGTGACAAACTTCAAAAATTCATAACTAATTGTAGAAAAATTGAAATTGAGTGATTCCAAGTTCTACAAAAAGCTCTTTGGATAAAATTTTGAGGAAAAATAGTTTCTGAACTGATTGCTTTGAAATTCGAGCTCAATTTCCTTTGAAAAAGTTACTGTTCATTTGGTCATTTTCGGATTTTACTGTATTTTTGCCTAACTTTGGAAAGACATAACTTTCTGCTCGGTTATCGGAATCAGGCAAACTAGCCCCACATTTTAAAGAGAAACATTAGATCTCTTTGATTGCCAAATCTTATGACCTAACTCACTCGTTTGATAGGTCAAACTAGAGCTACAAACTCACTGCTCCAGGACTTACGTTTTATCCCTTAACATCTCTTTAATTCTTTTTATTTCTTTGGCATACATAACATGGCCTTACTCTTTCCCATTCATGCTCATACACTTTCATTCATGCCATAAATATTATAATTAAATACATGGCATCATTGGCATCCATAACATAGTTCACAAAATAGTAGAATTATACATTTATCAACAGTCTCATCCATTAACAAGAATAATTCTCCGCTTACTTCTCCTTGCTTCTCATGCCATTATTGCCCATCATTGATTGACCTAAATGGTTGGTTAGGGAGGGGTGAGATTCGGGAGAATCTCAGTAGCAAACACTACCCATAAGCATGCAAGACATAATGCACATGCATGACATGTTATAACATTAACACATGAATGCCATGGAAAGTAAGCTAAAGCATTTCATGCTTCCATAACATATTGCCAAGGCAAAACATAACATAAACTTGCAAACATAACTTTGCAAATATTTCATCATAGCTTAGTCACATCATGGCAACACAATCACATCATGCAAGCATACATATCAAGCACACAGTATAGGTAAGTTCACTACCTTGTAACATGGCTTTCCCCTTGCTTTTCCTTTGATTCCCTTGTCTTTCCAACCATGTGGACATTCGATCAACATCACCAAACATCCTCTTGGATATTCCAAAGGTCCTAAACATAGTCACATTGATCATACAATCCATTAGGACCACTAGATTACATAAAGTTCAAGACTAGCTTTCTTGAACCTCAACCCTTTCTCTTAGTCTTAGGGTTTTCTTTCCAACTTTTCTAACATAAATCTTATCATTTCCCATCCTTAAGATCCATTTCTTGTCAATGAGGACCACTTTAGATGGCCGTAGATTCAAGAATACCAAATCTGGAAATTTTGCTTCGCGGGTACTATTCACGCAGAATTTCCAGAATTTTTGCTCAACTTTGAAAATTCATAATTAATTCTAGAAAAATCCAAATTGAGTGCTTCCAAGTCTCACTGAAAGCTCCTTAAGTTAAATTTAAGGGAAAAATAGTTTCAGGAACCAATTCTACGCCAAACAGTACCGGAACTGTACGGAACGCGAAACTCTTCCAAAAGTTCAACACTATTTGCAGATTTCAAACCCTAACTTTGAAAAATCACCATAAATCGTACACATATCCAAATGAAGTGTTCTACCTATGGATTTAAAGCTCACAGAGTGTACTTGAAGCATGTAAAATTTCAAAATCAGATACGCACAGTAACTAATCTGAAATAGGCATGAAATCAGGTGCTATAACCATCACATACCTTATTTTAGAGCTTGATCTGGCTTGGAACCACTTGGCCTTTCTTTCTCCCTCTTCTTTCTCTCTCTAGAAATCATTTTGCTTGAGCTTCCCCATGGATTCCTTATGCTTGGACGAAATGGTAGGGAGGGGAGAGGGTATTTATAGAAAAGCAGACTGAATCTGGACCGTTGATCTTAAAAATACGTGGCTCGATCCGGACCGTCCATTTTCTCTTTTGATCTTACGGTGACAAGTGTCCCATGACATCATGCTTACCTCATCATGATGACATCATGCTTACATCATCAAGCCACATGTCTTTAATCCAACCACACACGTGTCTTGCATCCGACCGTACACTTGTCTTCCATCTAGCCGTACACTGTTAGGATTATAGTTTTGATGATAACAAAGTCAGAATATCAAGGTTAAGTATTTTGATCGATCAACTGATCGAGCAATCATTTATCGCTAAGGTTTCAGATAAATGACCAAGTGTAAATCAGGTCTATAGTAGGCTTTTTGGATCGAAGAACTATTCGATGAGTAATTTATCGATAAAGTGATTGATAATCGCTAACGTAAAAATCACATAAGAGTATGGTAAATTATCGATAAGCTGATCGATAATATCAGGTAAACAATCGAGTTACTGATAAGAGACCCAAAATCTGAAGTGTATTTATCGATCAAGTTATCGATAAATCAGTCATCAATAACGACTTCGATAAAAGGTAACACAATCTACTTGTTCTGCACATTAGTTCTGTTACCAATTTATCGATCATATTTCCGATCATTTGTTTATCGATTACGTGTTCGAACTTTATGCTCTAACTCTCTGAATGCAGGTGATCAAATTCACTGATGGATCGATAACCTTATTGATCATAAAATTATCGATCACATGATCGATAATCAATGTCCTTATTTACTCTTACTTAGTTTTGCTACAACTAAATTATCGATAACATTATCGATAAGTTTAACTTGTTTGCTTAAATAAGGTTTCACATAACGTGATCGATAAAGAGTCTAAGGATTGATTATTCGCATTAAGTTATGGTGAACTATTTTTCGATCAAGTAATCGATCACTGTTTTTCGATAATATGATCGATCATTCAATTCCCCGAAATTCATGTTTTCACAAAACGTGATCGATAATCATTTCCTTTACCTTACAGGAATAAACTTTCTTTCTTCACTTTATCGATCACTTGTTCGAATGATCATTGATCGATCAACTGTTCGATCATTTCAGATAGCCTGTGTCTTTCATTGAATATATACATAACTATGTTTTATCGATAACATTATCCATCATACATTTATCGATAAGATGTTCGATCATCAATGACTGAAGCTTCATTTCAATAACATTTGAATTATCGATAATCTGTTCTAACAAACATGTGTTCGATCACTTGTTCGATCATAGAACGATCCCCTCTTTCTATGATAATTCTTAGAGTCAATGATCCAACACTTGATCGATAATTTTGGTGATCTAATTCGAAAAGTCTTCATTCTGTTTATCGATAACTTGATCTATCATCAAGTAATCGATCATCTTTTCGATCAAACTAAACCAGAATGACTTTCTGTTCTTCTTACTGATAAATGATTTCGTCACAAATCTTTGAATGATAAATTAGCTTTCTTTCTATGTTCAAGATTAAAGCACTCACCACAAAACTCTCATTTGTTCAAAGCTTAAAATATGCAGATTAATGAAAACGAGTGCAAACGGCTCTTCAACGGGATTAAGTAGACTGCGACCTACAGTGTCAGAAGCTCAGACGCATTAATGGCGGAGCCGTTGAAACCAGCGAAACACGCAAACGAAGTCACAACGGCTAGAAGCTCTTCCGTCTAACGGCTACTTAACGATATCAACTATAAAAGGCGCGAAGAAGCATTAATGAAGAGATTGAATATCGGAACTACCAACTGCGATCATTTAGTTACGCATTCAATACTCTGTTTTCACGTTACTACCGAGCATCAGTGTTTATCATTAAATTCACTCTGTGAGAGAGCCAATTACTACTTTTATTAAAACTTGAGTGACACTCAAGAGTGTGGACTCTTGAGAGGGGTTGTATCCTTACGGGAGTAAGGGGGAGTGATTGAGCGATTCAATTACTATACCGAGGCACCAAGAGCCCTGTCGATCT